CCAGGCTGCCCTGCGCAGAAAGCGTGTGGCCACGGCCGAGTCCAAGCCGGGGGTCGCAGCTTCAAAACGTGGACCGCAGGCCTGAAGGAGTGGGTGGACCTGGAGCCAGAGAAAAGGATCTGACCCCTAGTCACTGGGGAGGTGGAAAAAAAACTGTCCTATATTTGGGATGGAAAATAAAAGCAAACACATCAGAAAGAATGCGGCTTCCCTATGGAGAATGAAATCCAGACCTTGGCCTGACATTGACTGCTCGGTGATCTCTGCCCTCCACGCGTCCCGGCGGCCAGGGCCCAGCTGCAGCACCTGCCTACCGGGCCGGAAGAAACACGCTGTGGACTGAGTTGTACCCCAGCCCCATGAGTTGAAACCCTGACCCCCAGGGGAACAGCATATTTGCTGATGGGACCACTGGCGGGACACAATGTAGGTGTAGGTTAGGTCCTGAGGGCAGGAAAATCATGATGGAATAGGAGTCCTTATACGACAAGATCAGAAAACTCGCTTTCTGTCCTTGCCGTGGGAGAGACAGTGAAAAGGTGACCATTTTCAAATCACTCAGAGAGCCCTCGCCAGGAACGGAATTAGCTGGCACCTTGACCTTGGCTTTTCCAGCTGCCAGAACTGGAGGAAATTAATATCTACTGTTTAAGCCCCACCTCCCCAGTCTGTGGTGTTCTGTTAGAGCGGCCCAGGCTGACCAGACAGAGCAGGTACCTGTAGGGGAGCAGTTCTACCATCCCTTGGGTCAGCTTCAACGCCGCCTTCCTCTAGGAATCTTTCCATAATTCTCCCAGACAATGCTTCCCTCTTTCTCCACCCCTTGGATTACACTTCAGCAGCAGCACTCACATCTTACACACATCTTTCCTGCAGTACTGACAGCTGTCATTCGTCAGCTCTTCGTTTTCCCTATCTCTGCCCTCCTCGGGCCAGTTCACTTGCTGATCCAGTCCCAAGGCAGGGGAACCTCCTCGCCACGCCCATAGGGCATGTGGAGTTACTGAGGCAGGTCCACAGCGGGTTGGGGCCCTGGTCCCGGTCAAGCACGCCCGTGTGCCCTGTTCTCATGACCTGACTATTGCGGAGGTCAGTTCTGCCACACGGCCACTCTCATCTGTAGAGCTGCCAGGTAAAACACAAGACCACAGGGGCCGGAGGTGCCCTTCAGAGCGCTTGGCTCGCAGGCACGAAGCCCTGGGTTCAACCCCCAGCAACACAGAACACAACGTAAACAAAATACAAGAGAAGAACCTTTTAGTACAACCGTGTCCCAAGCGATATTTGGACACAGCTGCACTAAAAGTTATTTTCCGTTTCTCCGAAAATTCAAGTGGAACGGAACACCCTATATTTTTTCATACAAAAGCTGACAGTTTAGCTCCCCAGCACCACAGGACTGAGTAGCCTCCCAAGGCTGCGGCCCGTGCCAGTCGCCCACCCCGATGACCACGGCCCTGAAGCCCCAGGCCCCAACCCAGAGGCCAGCACTCTGCCTTTCACACCGCGGCAGGGTTCCCCAGGGCGCCCTGAGCCTCCGCTGAAAGCACAGTGTAACACTGTCCAGCCCAGAGCACACATCTGGGGCCAGCCCGGTGCCTCAGCTGTGTCCCCCTCCCCTGCAGAAACCCCCGTGACTCGCCAATGACTCCCAGGCTTTGACCAGAGCAGCGTCCAGCTATCTCGTCCAGACTGCGAGCCCCAGGGCTGGGAGGACAGCCCAGCGTCTCCGTCCACCATCCGGCATCCCATTTTCCACATTACGTAGGCTTAGCAAGTGATGCTGACCTCAGACTGAAAGACGGTACCCAGAGGTATGAGCTGGGCAAGAATGTAAAATAAAGGGGCCGGGTAAATGAGAGACCGACTCATACTTTGAATCAGACAGAAAAGGGTGAGTAAGAGACTGTAACTTCTTCTTCATGTGTTTTTGTCTCCAATGATGTCAAACAGGAAAAAAATAATTTAGGCCTCTTTAAAAGTCTGGTGAGCGATGCAGGAATGCTGTAGGGCAGAGGCTTGGCAGAAGCACGGCAAGTCCCTTAGAGAGAGGCTCGTAGGAGCTGGTCCCAGGTCCGGCCATCTTTGGGACCAGGCGGCTGCATGAGGACAGTATTGTTAAGAGTCATATTTTTGGGCTGGGTGATAGCTCAGCAGTAGAGCGCTTGCCTAGCATGTACTAGGCCCTGGGCTTGATCCCCAGTAGAGAAAAAAAAAGCCGTGCTTTGATGCTGTTTCCAAAATATCAGACTTTAACCCACATTCTTAAAAGATGAACACAACTTCATCAAACATTTTTCGGACTTCATTTCTCTGTGAATATTATCTCTCATGCCCACATTTTATGGCACTGTCAGTGGTTTTATAGCCAGTGGGTGCCAAAAGTTTTAGGTCCCATCAAGGTAATTTAATTCTAAGGTTCACCAGGCAAACACCTGCTTTTGTGTAGTTACATGGACAAGACTTCTCTTGTCCACATAACGACTGATATTTTGGACAAAAAGTCCAAGCGCAAGCTTTCAGTGAAGCAGGAAGCAGGATAGTATCGGATATCACTGAAACAAAACACTTTCCTGGACAATTAGTACCTTCCAGTAGGATAACTGCAGCCCCGTCTGCATGGAAAGGCACTAAGATCTCTCCGGGCAGAGCACCCACCACAGGAACGGCTATGCTAGCACCTCCCAGTACACGGCAGAGAACGCGCACTGAATATTTACCATGCACTCGGCTAGGATTTCGAGTGAATTATTTGGCATAATCTTTACATCACCTTCATGAGATAGTTACCACGTTGTCCTCACTTACGAATGAAGAAAGGGAGATTCCAGCAGGGAATGTGCACAAGCCCTAATACACAACAATGCCTACTGGGTATCGAAGGTAAGATTCAGCCAATTCCAAAGTCCACCTCAGCGGTTCAGCAACAGCTCGGAGTGGAGCTGGGGAGAACCACCTGATTGCCTTCTGTCCGCGATGTGCCGACAGCCTCGCATACGCTAGGTCTGGGGTTGGCGAGCTAGCCCGGAGCCAGACTTGGCCGGCTGCCTGTGTGAATGTGATCGTGCCCGTGTGTTTACGTGTTGTCTGTGGCTGCTTTTGCGATAATAGACTCTTATGAACCACAAAGCAGGAAATATTTAAAATAGGACCCTCTGCAGAAACGTTTTCCACCTTTTATGTCAAGATCACTGGATGCCCCTGCTAGTGGCGCTAAGGAGGAGGACTTTCCTCAATGTTAGAAAAGAATGAATAGGTTCAGAAAAGCTGAGCTGCTTGTGCTAAGCCATGGATTGCTGGGTAGTATACTTTAAAATTCATATTCTGCCACACAAGTATGGCATTTATTTTGAAGTGAGGGCCACTGGGCTCTGTATTTTCTTACTAGTTTGTAAAAGAAAAAATATTTTAATGCCCAGGAATGATGGGATATAATTATCAACAGTCCTTCAGAATAAATAGATTTAAGAAAACTTTGAATACTATCGCTTTTTTTTTTTTTTTCTTTTTAGTTCTGCAGAGAACAGATAAGGATGTACCCATGGACCAGCATAAATTAAAGACTAGTGGGGGTGCTTGCTGGGGCATTACAGTCAGGAAGTGTCAGAGCCAGAGAACATGCAGGCCGATCTGACACCAAAGCCCATGTTAGCTTCATCCATCCATCTGTCTGTCTGTCTGTCTATCCATCTATCCACCCACCCATCCATCCATCCATCCATCCATCCACTTATCCACCCATCTATCTATCTATCTATAATCCATCCATTTATCCATCCATGTATGTACGTATCTATCTATCTACCTATCTTCCTACCTATCACCCTTGTATGCATTCTATCATTCTATAACTTTTCACTAAGCACCTGCTACGTGCTGGATACTTGGCTCACACCAAGGACATGATGAATCATTTTCCTACATTTCTCTCACCATCACTCTCTTTCCTTCTGCTTCTTCATTTGAAATAAAAAGTTCAAATATCACAGATCCATTAACCATTTTCTTGTTATGATGGCTTGACCTGTGAGCCACTGGGGAAAATAATCCAAGCAAAAAACCACAACACAGTAATGTTATAGAATCTCTCCCTCTCCCTCTCCCTTTCTCTCTCTCTCTCAGTAATGCCTTCAGAAACTCACAGGACAGGGGCTGGGGATTTAGCTCAGAGGCAAAAGCGCCTGCCTGGCAAGTGCAAGGTCATGAGTTCGGTTCCCGGTACCGGAGAAAAACCAAAAAAAAAAAAGAAACTCATAGGACAAAAAGTCATTAAATTATTTCAGCAAGCCACAGAGACTGTTCACTCCAGAATTCTTAATATAATTGTTTGCCCATATGCCTTCGTGGCTTTAAGGTTTTCTAATACATAAAACCCCAAAACCCCCCCAATAACTACTATAGTCTAATCTTTTTCATTCTTTTTTTTTTTTTGTCTTTTTTGAGACAGGGTTTTGCTATGTAGTTTAGGCTACCCTCAAACTCACAGCAATCCTCCTGTCTCAGCCTCCAGAGTGCTGGGATTACAGATGTGCGCTACCACGCCCAGCAAGTCTCTTTAATATTATGCTGCTGGAAACTGTTCTTCCATTATAGTGAACTACAATCAATAAAGCAAACTATTTAAAAATTACAAGTAAAAGTTAATTACGAGAGTGACTATCAAAGAATGTTAACATTAATATTTTTAAACAAATGAGAACATTCAAATTATTGCATTACATATAACTCTGTAATAGCCTATATCCTATATTTAATTTTGTTTGTTTGTTTGTTTTTTGGGTTTTCTTCCGGTACCAAGAATCGAACTCATGACCTTGAGCTTGCCAGGCAGGCACTGTGCCGCTGAGCTAAATCCCCAGCCCCAACATCCTATATTTAAATATTTGATTCTGAATTATTCTTCTTTTAAAAAAATTATTACATTGGTAAGACAAGTACAAGAAATGTTTCAGGTACTCTACTGATCATAGAATTTGTTTAAAAAAATTAAACGAACTTACTGTGTATTCTGATTCCAGATGTTCATTTGGAGAAGAGGGAAAAGAAAAGAAAAGATAAAGATAGTTTAGACCACACATATGTGATATAAAACCACAGAGCTAACAACTACGGGTGAGTTACAATTACTGTTAAAACTATGGTAAGGAAACCTTCCAGAAATTGGAGTTTCATAAATACTGAATGTCTTCGCGTTTGCTTTGAAACTCTTTCACATGACACTTTTGTGGTTGGGCAGAGAAGGACAAGACAAGATTCAATTAGCCTATAGGTTTGTGGCTAATTAAAAATCTAAGAGTTGGCATTATGAAAGCAGAATTAAAGACTAATAACTCTGGTAGAGCATTTCATTAACCACAAAGAAAATCTTTTAAGTGGAGAAGCAGTTTTTATAACCCATACAAAGAGCTTATTACGCTCCTGATCCGGGAGTCCGGAGTCTGAGTGTGTTGCAGCAAGGAGACCAAACCTTCTAAATTTTGAGTGGCTATAGTTTCTCATACAATATCCAGCACAGAGAGTTTATTATCGTTGCACTGGAGGAAAAGGATCTTAAAGATTTTCTTATTACCCAGGAGCAAAGGGAGTCACTGGGGGCAGACACTGAGCTACTTATCCAAACTGAGCTACTCCCAAACCCTTTAAAAATTGTTTGTTTGTTCTTCAGACAAGATCTCACTAAGTTGCCCAGATTGGGCTCAAACTTGCGGTCCTCCCGCCTCAGCCTCCCAGGGAGCTGGGATTACAAGCCTGTGCCACTATACCCAGTTCAAAAGAAACTTTTCCAAAAATTATGATCAGTGTTTTGGGGGAGGGAGCTATAAAACAAACAGGTCAAAGTAAACAACTTGTTTATTGACAGATCATAGGGAAAAAGAAGGAAAATAAAACCTGTAGACTCCTCACAACAAAGATCTTTATCTTCTTTCTCCCTGGGCTCCCACAGGCCCTTCATGGAAAATCAGCTCCAGCTCAGGGAAATCCCCCTACCGCTCGGCCCTTGCGTTCGCTGTGTATGGTTTGCTAAGGACTTACCTGTAATTGTGTAGGGGTAATAGTTCCAAGCCTTCTCTGTCACGTAAAATATTTTGGGGACCACAGCTCTAGCCCAACTAGGCAGTTTGCTGAGAAGAAAGAAAAAAAAAAAAGATGATTAGCATCTGTTCAGAGCCTTACCATGCTACTACAATTTTCTAGATAAGTAGCTAGAGAAGACAGAGGGATTTGCAGACATTTCTTCTTTCCGTACTCAGCCCTTCACCATCTCTCTGGTCTCTACTGCACAGTCAGTCATGTCCTATGTGTATTCATTTTTTTGTTTGTTTGTTTGTTTGTTTGTTTTGTTTTTCTTCCAGTACCAGGAATCAAACTCACGACCTTGCGCTTGCCAGGCAGGCGTTTTGCCGCTGAGCTAAATCCCCAGCCCGGACCTATGCATATTCATGTGCTCTCAAAATTCATAAAGGCAGAAGGCTTCAGCCAGGTGGGAGGAGGAGGGCTGTAAGCCTGTCCTTTGCCATTATTTTTGTAAGCTCATGAGAATCTGGGGCCTTTGGAGAGTATGGCCAAGCTGGACTTTGACTTCTGAAAGCAGTATGTTGGAAGCAGTAGAAAGGGAGGATGCAACCCTTAATTATGGTATGCCAACTTGCCTAGATTAATAAATGCCTAGGAGCTTAGTAAAGCACACTTCTGGGTGTGACTGGGTGGGACACGGAGGAATGACCTTGGGTAATGTACATGGTCTCTAGCAGGTTCCTCTCTGGCACTGTTCCCCTGCTTGGCTTCCTGGCCACTATGAACTAAGCACTTTTGCTTTGCCAACACTTGCACCATGGTGTTTCTGCTTGGGAGCCAGCTGACCATGGACAGACTCCCCTGAAACCATAAGCCAAATTTAACCTCTCCTCCTTTAAGTTGTGGGTACTGGATATTGCCTCTTGGATGGGGAAGCTGACTGATAACAAACGCTTAAGCCAAATTGGGTTGGGGATTTAGCTCAGCGGCACAGCACCTGCCTGGCAAGCGCAAGGTGGTGAGTTCGATTCCTGGTACCAGAAAAAAAACAAATTGGGTAGCCAGGGGGACATGTTAGAGAGAGGATTCGGCTGAACAGCCTTTATGAGCAGCCTTTAGAAAATGAACAAAAGCAACATACAGCAGAAAGCTGGACATACAAAGAGGAACAAAATGTAGCTCCTTGATGGCTGTCGTGGTTTGAACTGTGCCCCTAAAAAAGATATGTCTACATCTTTCTTTTTTTTTTGGTCTTTTTGAGACAGGGTCTCACTGTGCAGTTCGGGCTGGCCTTGAGCTCACTTTGCAGCCCAGGCTGGTCTCAAACTCGCAACGATCCTCCTGCCTCAGCCTCCCGAGTGCTGGGATTACAGGCGTGCGCCACCACGCCACCACACCTGGCACCAGATACGTCCACATCTTAACCTCCAGTACTTGTGATGATGATCTCATTTGAAAACAGGGTCTCTACAGAGGTAATTAAACTTAAGGATCTCAAGATGAAATCATCCTGGATTTGGGTATGCCCTAACTCCAATGCCTGGCATCCTTATTAGGGAAAGGAGAAGAAGATTTAGGGCCCAGGGACACACAGAGTGGAAACCATGTGAAGATACCAGCAGAAACTGAAGTAATAATATTATAAACCAAACAACACCAAGGAGAGAGACACTAGCAGCAGGGAGAGATTACAGAACAGAGGCCCCTAAAGGAGACAACATTTCCAACACTTTGCTTTTTTTAATTTCACGTCCCCAGAACAGTGAGAAGATAAATTTGTGTGGGTTTAAACCACCCAGTTTACCGAATTTGTTGTGTCAGCTCTTGGGAGCTAATCCGCTGACAAAAACCAGTCCTGCAGAGCAGGGGCCTGGACAGCCACTTGCAGAAAACAAATTCTCCAAAAGAACAGATCCCAAGCTCTTTTGTACACCAAATACTAATTAAGTTGGTTTTCTTCCAGAGGTAAACCCTACAGCTTGGTGCTGGCCCGAAGAATTCAACAAATATCTCTTACGATATTTAAGGAACATATGATAATTCCTTAAAATTGATCTGCATAATTTTATTTCCCCCCAGCGCTATATCCAGGAGTTTTGTGTGTTCCCAGAGGGTGCCATTTTGCTTCTTTCCTGTTCTGGTGTCTACAGCTAAATCTGGGATGCTAGCATCTAGCAGTAGATAAGTCCCAGGGTGATTATGTAGACACGAAGCTCCGTAATGCAAAGAACATCAAGAATCCATTTTAAATTCCAATCTATTTAGTGAAGTTAAACCCTTCTTGGATATGGGATATAAATGACAGTCAGAGCCAGTAAAAGAATATGAACCTTGTTTATCTTCTCAAATTATTTCTCTCATTTTTTTTTTCCGGTACCAGGAATCGAACTCAGGACCTTGCACTTGCCAGGCAGGCGCTGTGCCGCTGAGCTACATCCCCAGCCCGATTTCTCTCATTTCTCTCAGTATCCAGGCCCAGGTTTTGAAAAGACAGATACGCATTTCCAATGGCTAGCCAGACCTAACCCAAAACACTAGGCTGAATCAGCGTTACAACAAATGGGGGAAAGAAATCAAAGCGCCTCCAAAGCTGACTGAGTGTCGGTTGAAGGCTGTTACTCTCCGGTGGGCTGTGAGGAGAGAGGAGGAGCCATTTGAAAATTCACAGAAGACTTCTTGCTGCTATAATGCAGGAGTTCCCACTCCTATAAAGTCATCTCTGCAGTAACTGCTCATTTACCTTACGATCCCATTTCTCACAGGACGAGCTGCTCCCTGACAGGGCTTTTATAGCTTCTGCTGCTGATTGATTCCGTCAGTCACTGACGCTGGAGGGTGACAGGCTGGAAGTTGGTGTGGAGTGGGAAAATCCCACTGGCTGGCTTGCAGGAAGTGTAGGAGAGCAGAACTCCCCCCAGGGACCCTCCTGTTCGCCCCCACACCCCAGAGCAGTATGCCAACGGATACTGCAGGCGGATGCTGATTCTGGCCACAAGTAAGTGTTTTCTTATGCTTGTAATGGCCTGAAACAAGGCTGGGGACTCTTCGGGAAAATACGCAAGGCATTGTTTAGTTCAGACAATGTGCAAAGAGCTCCCCACAGCTCTGGGGTCCATTCTCCACTCTCCCCTTGTGAGGAGGACTCCATTGCCCTCGCCTGTGTCCTCAAACCCATCAGGCTCCTCCTGCGTAGCACTCCACATAATTCATTCCCTCTAGCGCTTAGACATCCTGCCAGCACAACTGCATTCCTCAGTAACCATCATTTTCTGGAAGGAAGATGAAAACCACTGGCAATTTTCCATTCACATCGAGGCTCTTCCTGTTCGTCACTGCTCAGGACTCCTGACTCCACACTCTTTATTTTAGCTGTTGCACGCACCGACTCAGGAAGGATAGGCCGCCTTACAAACATTGATCTTTTCCGGTGAGATGCCCTAAAAAAATACAGTCACTTTAGCCAGAATGGCTGCTGTGACTTTATGTTATTCTTCTAATTGAGCCTGGGAAGGAGAACTTTCTGGTATAAGCCACGGGCTAGGCCAAGTACTGAGGCTTTTGCAACAAGTCCCATGATACGTTTGCTACAATCTGGATGTAATAGGTCTCCCCGATGCCATGTGTTAAGGGCTGGGTCCCCAGGGCAGCTGTTACAGCTTGCATCCAGATATCCCCCAGAGGCTCATGAGGTCATAGGTGGGGCTTTTCAGAGGTGGCTTCATAGACAGTGTGCGATGCTGGGATTAAGGATGTGTGATTTAATCACTCCACTGATTGGTTTGGTACCACCCGAATCCCAGTAGCCTAGATACAATATAAAAGGGCCAGAAAGATGCTGCTAAGGTTCCTTGCTTGCTTGCTTTTGCTGACTTCTGCCTGCCATGAACTGTTTCTCCTCTGAGATGCCCTTCTGCCATGTGCCACCCTGCCTTGGAGCCAGCTGATTATGAACTGAGACTTCTACACACTGTGAGCTAAATAAACCTTTCCTCTTTTAACTTTGGGTGTTGGGTATTTTGTGTCAGCAGTGAGAAAAGCAACTAAGACAGCAGCCTTCCTGGAAGACGGTGGGACTGTTATAAGCCAGGGTCTGGTGGGAGTCTCTCTGGTCCTTAGGGATGTACCTTTCTAAGAGGATTAGGACCCTTGGCCCCTTCCTCTTCTTCCTTTGCTTCCCGGCCACAGGGCTCCCCTCTCCCCTGCTGCAACCCAGCACCTCCCCACCAGAGGCCTGAAAACCATGGGTCCACCCCACCGTGGCCCGAAATCTCTACAACCATGAGCCAAAATAAACCTTTTTTCTTTTTTTTTTTTTGGTTTTTTTTTTTTTGGTTTTTCTCCGGTACCGGGAACCGAACCCATGACCTTGAGCTTGCCAGGCAGGCGCTTTTGCCGCTGAGCTAAATCCCCAGCCCCAACCTTTTTTCTTTATATGGTCATCATCTCAGGTATTTTGTGAGAGTGACAGAAAGCTGACTAACACAGTGCTACCTCAGCATTTCTCACAGGATGAATTTCTAACAGACCTGCTTTCAGCCCCCTTCTCCTAGGACACATCATTATTTGAGTCATGTTTGTCTGAGAAAGTAAAGTTTATTTTCCCCAACAGCAATGATTTACCGGGACCTGCAGAGGAAAATGGAACTAAATTAGTCTCCACTATTGCTGTCACTTTCATGATACATACTGTCACACAGCCTACAACTGTAAGAACAAGCCTGTCACTCACTCAAACTCACGGCCAAGAGTCAAACAAGAGCCTTTCTTCTACACAGGCAGACAGTTTGAACCAAACCCTTAGTCCATGCATGGACTAGGACCAAGCCTCCCAGTGGTCCACCTTGCCGAGGCCCAGGCTTTAAAGACATTTAAATTCTAAACGCTTTCTAGAATCTAAAAACATGTGAACAAGGAAGGATACTGCGTCTGTGTCACATCCCCCCAGACATCTTTGTCGCTAAAAAAATCCTCTAAGTACAGGCTTCAAAATGTTTGACTTCAGGGGCTGGGGATTTAGCTCAGCGGCACAGCGCCTGCCTGGCAAGTGCAAGGTTGTGAGTTCGATTCCCAGTACCAGGAAAAAAAAAAAAAGTTTGACTTCTTACTT